GTTTTCAGCATACAGATCCTTTACATCTTGGGTTAGATTTATTCCTAGGTATTTTATGATTCTTGGTGCAATTGTGAGTGGGATCAGTTTCTTTATTTGTCTTTCTGCTGCTTCATTATTACTGTATAAGAATGCAACTGATTTCTGTACATTAATTTTGTATCCTGCGACTTTGCTGAATTTATGAAACAATCATTTTAATTATTTCATTTTATTTTACTCACGAGAAGCTAGAAAGAGGAAACTCATTCTTCCATGACCATCAGTGCTCCTACACTTAGCCAATGGGTGTCTTGAGCCATGTCATCCACACCACCAGCCACACCACCCACCATGTCATCCACCACAGTGGCTTTCCATAGACCTCCAAACAGAAAGCACAGGTCCTACTGGGGGTCCCAGCACAGCCCATGCCTGAAATGGCTCCAAAACCCTCCTTCACTGAGAAATGGAGTGGTATCTTGGGGATCCTGTGTCAAAGTCAGCATCACTGTTGACACACCAGAGTCACATGAGTGATGATCCCAAGGAAAAATCACCGGGGGTAAGGGGGAATCCATGCTCCAAATATGTGAGACCAAAAGAGAAGGTCAGAATGATATTAAATGACCATCAATGTGCACTGAGAAGCTAGTGCTGGGGGAGACCCCAATACAATAGACCAGGTATGGGGCATGGTGACTGACATTACCAGTCCCTCTCATCCTGTTTTGTGCTAGAGCTCCTTCCATAGGACTCAATGTCTCCCCAACCAGCCTGTGAGATAATCCTGGAGCGGAGAGGCTGTGATTTGTTCTCACATGGAGTCCTGCCTTCCTAAAAGAACCCCACATAGGTCTGAGAAAACACACGCCATTTTGCTTTAACTTCAGAAGAGTTACAGCTTCCCAATATCTCCTCCCTGAGTGTGTGTGGACCTAGTTTTCACCCATCAGAAACATTTGCTATCACTCTGGGTGGACACGGCTATGGGAGGCAGACATTCTCACACACTGCTACAGTCATCTGATATTACAACCCTTATGGAAGTTAGCTTGACAATCTCTCAGAATTACAAAGGCACACTGCTATTAACCCAGCAACCCTACTTTCTAGAATGTATACTTCATTTATACTTTTACGAATGTGAAACAAAATGCAAGATTACTCATTGCAGTGCAGCATGTCATAGCAAAATAAACAACCTAAATTGTTCATCAACAGGTTTTGGGTTAAATAAACTATGATATATCCATACAACAAAGTACTATACTGCTGTAAAAACAAGGAGGAAGCTTTTTATGTACTGATAGGGAAGAAATTCCAAGATATATTGCTAAGTGGAAAGAAAGGAAAGTGGAAGACTGCATTTATTTTAAAATAAGTACCAATTTTAATAAATATGTAAAAGACAGAAGGTAGGTCTGGTTGCCTCTGGGAGGGATAATAGGGTGGTTGGCTGGGAACAAGAGTCAAGGGCAGGTGTCACTGCATGTGCTTTTGAAACTTCTGGTTTATGAATCACATAAAGACATATTAAAAAAATAAATGCAGGTATTAAACAATTAAATGTCTTGCTCAGGATATCTGAGCTGGTCTACCACCTCAGCAAAGACAACAGCTCTGGCTAAATAGCTTTCAATCTCCATAATGGGCCTGGGAAAAAGTCTGGCCCACGGCACAGGTACATGATCCGGGACTCCCACCTCTGCTGCTGCTTCTGGATCTCACTCACTGCAGCATCTGAAGGTTCTGTTAAAATCTAGGAACCATACTTGCTCAAAGAAAGATACACACAACCCTCCTCATCACAAATATTTCTATCCCAAGACCTGTCCACCCAACCTTGACCACCTAAGCATCTCATTGCTGAGGACACACAGAGTTGAATGGGAAGGGTAAACACATATCCCAACCTTCCAGGGTTGGTCTGGACTAGCCTGGGCCTCCTGGTCACCACCACCCCCCAAACACTTTCAAGTCCCACTCTCTCTGGATCCATGACACTGCATGTATACCCGCTCACCAAGTGCTCACTACCTGAGTGGCTGCTCATCATGCAGACAGCCTTGGCCTTGGCCAGCTCCAGGGCGGTGATCCACTGCTGCCGCTCTACCTCCGAGCTGGCCTTGAGGTGGTAGGTCCTTGCCCCACTGGTCAGCACGATACTGCAAGAGTCCTCCGTGTCAAAGTGCGCGGTGGACAGGTTGATGGTGCCACGACAGGTGTGGGCCATTTCACCCTGATTTCTGTAGGATGCAAGAGAAGGTATGGGGTGAGGCTCCCAAACTCAATACCTCTAGACTGCTCAAGGCAAATCCTCAGAACCTCAGACCCTTAGAACTGAGAGAGTCCCTGGAGTCAGAGCAGGGAGATAATGCCTGATGGGATTGACTGGTAGGGGCTTGGCTGAGGGGCGCTCAGTGGGGAGATAGCAAAGGGAGGAGGGCCTGCATTAGTGCCAACTGCAGGGCATGCTGGCTGTGGGTTAAGCCCTTGCAGACATGAGGAAATGGAGAAGGGTGACTGTCTAGAGACCTGTGAGGCAGCATAGACCACTAACTCCAACCCAGCCTCCTTCCACTAAGTCTCAGAACCACAGAGCTGGAGCAGGATGGCAAATACCACTGAAACTGAGATTAGAGACCCAGAACCCCAGAGGGTGGATTTGGAGGCACACCCTGCCAGGAGTGACCTAGGAACAGAGATCCACAGAGCAAGGATGCCACCACACTCTTCTGGCCCCACAACAAATGGGAAGAAGGCAATGGCGGGACTAACACAGTGCTGCCTCATGACGGACATGACCTTATAACCTTTGCTGGTTTTAAGATTATGGAGCTAATGGTACCAAAGTAAGGGGAAATGGAAGTGACTGAAGTGCAGGCCATTTCCAACTGTGACCAATGTCTAAAAACAGATCCAACCATCATGACTGGATCTACCTAACTTAGTCCTTCACATACTTAAAGGAAATTTGGAACCCTCACAACATACCAAATCTCTTTTCACAGAGAGTATTGGAAAAGGAAGAGCAATTGGTGGTCAGCATGTAACACAGCCAGTGGCAGAAGCTCATTTGGCAAATTCTGCTGCCCTTTGATGCTGGTTGTTCCTCATGTTATTTTCTTGATTCTTCTACCAGTTCTAAAGTCAAATGACTTCACACTCAACAAGACATTCAGCTTTTATGTGAACAGCTTATGCCTTTTCCAATTCCCTCCTGCTTTGGCTACATTCCTTAGAGAAGATGACATAGTTTATACTTGAGGAAAAGTCCCGCTCCTAGGTGCTGACATGTTCTACTTGAAGAAAACTCCTTCTAATTAACAAAACTGGCAAAGATGAGCATACCTGTTGGAAGTCTGCCCTTTTTGATTCAAGGACTTTTTGGCTAGAGGCTGTTCAGGTGTTAAACAATACAGTAACTAACCAAAAAGGCCACTATGGCTCAGCTCAAAAAGAAGGCGGGGAGGTGGTGACCATTCTAGGCAGGGGGAACAGAAAGGGCAAAGAACATAAGGCAAGGTGAACTTTACAGGTTTCAAAAAAGAAGAAAAGTTTCCGTGTAGTAAGAGCATTGAGAACAACAGAGTGAATGAGAAAAAGGTGAAGCTAGAAAATTACATAGGGGCCAGATGCAATACCTTGTGGGTTATGTTAGGATTTAGACTTTTATCTCAAAACTAAAACAGTGGGCCTCCTAGGCCTAATGTTAGGAAAGAAGCAGAGGTGGCCAAGAGTTACAGAAATTCCTATGGAAAACGGGGAATAGAAGTACCTGGTATGAGATGGGATATGGAAGCCAGGCCACTGTGTGGTATCAGAGTGGGCTGGAAGTTATCCAGTGGCTATTGTATTGGATTACAACCCATCAACTAAAATAAATACCCCTGAGTTCATGCTGATATAAGCAAATAGTTGAAGGGATAAATAAATGGGGGAAAAGGGACAGATCTTCTTTAATAAAAGTAGATGTGATCACAGATATAGAAACTCACTAAATGCAATGTAGGATTCTAGATTGGATTACAAGATAGAAAAAGACATTAGAGAAAAACTTGTGAAATATGAATAAAGCTGGAGGTTTAGTTAATAGTATCATATCATGTTAATTTTCTGGTTTTGATAATTGTACTTTGCTGAGATAAGATATTAACATTAGGGGAAGCTAGATGATGGATACTTGAACTTTTCTATAAGACTCCTCCTC